ATTAGACGGAGCATCGATAATGGAATGAAACGTGTAGGGTGGATAGAATAAATGCATCGACAATAGCCTGTTACGTTCACGTAGTTCGGTTTTAGACACTGTAGCATAGAATGGACTTAAATGCTTTTAAAACGTACTGAGAAGAGTGAGAAAGGTAATAGCAGGCATTAGATATACCTCCCTAGTGAAGAGAGATTTAGAAACCTTTACAGTATTTAGAAAAGTAAAGAGCCAAGGGAGACATGATTGAAATATACAGATATATGAAAGTACTTAATAATGGGGATATTATTAGAGTTAAAATGTAAAAAAAAAGAAACATTAGCTACAAACTGGTTTAGTTTAGATTCAGAAAAGACCTGGGTAAATACTGGAAAATATGGTTGTTGGTTTATGGAGCACGTTGTCAGTAAGACATAAGATGTGGGGTCACTGGATTGTTTAAACCGCAGGTCATACAAATATGAAGGAGTTTGTCAAGTGAAGACTTATGGTTCATGGGCACCAAAAACACACATTATAATGACCTCTCCACTTAGTCACACAGTTGGGTTATTGTTCATTTATCTTGCCATGTGCATGACCAACTTTGTGCTTGCTTGCTTGCTTGCGCGCACACACACACACACACACACACACTCACAGGGCGGAAACAGATGGGCAGAGTTTCTTTCACCCTAATGCCCCCTGTTCATCTAGCAATAAATAGACACCTGGGAGTTAGACAGCCGTTAGACGAAAGCTAAAAAAAGAAAATAAACAAATTAACAAGGAATAAAGGTTAATGTAATTCTCCCGTGATAGAGAGACAAAAATCAGTAGCGTATGCGTCCGTTTAGAGTTGTAAACACTGGTGGTAGTTGTGACTCCCACCACCAGGTGGCCTACAGATAACCCCGCCCCCTCTCACCCCTCACATCGTCGCCTAGCACAAAGGTAGTGAGCAATTGCCATCCATTCCCGTTTGGGGAATCTCTCTTTATGCCCCAAATGATGTAATTAAGAGCAGCACCGGCCCCCTCTCTTTGATAGCGTTTTGCTGTAGATATTGGCATGATTACCACATCACCAAGGAGGGGAGGAGCGGGCAGGGGGAAGTGAGGGAAGGTGGAATGAAATTAGGAGCAACGGGAAGAGGAAAAGAAGTATAGGGAAGCACAGAGAAATTGTTTCAGATAAATGGAAAGGTGTAGAATGCGAGGGAGGAATTCAAAATGGGGTGTAGATGGAACAGAATTAGCGAGGGAGGTAAAAGGGAGACAGGAAACGAGAAGGGAATCAGAAAAGTGTAGGAATGGTTTGAGTCAGTGGAAGAGGCGATGTTAAGAGGGAGAGTGATGTGGAAAGTGTCGAGATGGAGCAGGAGATGAAAATATGGGGGAAGACTGGAGAACGGTAGACACACACACACACACACACACACACACACACACACACACACACACACACACACACACACACACACACACACACACACACACACACACACACAGGGAGGTGTAGATAGGTGGGGGGAGAGGAAGGTAAGGTAATCATGAGGAGAAAACGTTTAGCCTGTATGACCATATAGCACTTGGAAGGGATAAGATGACAAGGAGCAAGGATGGGATACAGGGAAGGCGATGATGTCCAACCACTTAGACCATCGGGGATAGAACGCCGACCTACAAGAACTGATTAGGCAGGTGGCAAGGAGAAGTGTGGCAAGATTAGGCAGATGAAGGAGGGTGGCAAGAAAGGGGGGACGGGTAAATTAAAAATAAACAAACATTTTAATATATGTATATGTATGTATGCATATATCTTACATGTGCTAACTTACTGTGCTCGCTAAGCATTACATAAATGCAGACGAGGAGTCACAATAACGCGGCTGAAATATGTTGATTAAACAACACACTTGAAGGGACGACGACGTTTCGGTCCGTCCTGGACCATTCAAGTCATCCTGAATCGACTTGAGAATGGTCCAGGACGGACCGAAACGTCGTCGTCCCTTCACCTTCTAGTGTGTGGTCTGGTCAACAAAAGTATTCACTAGTGCAATATAACATTGGTATTCTTTTTTTGCTACCGCTTCTAGCTATCAAGCAAGTACCCTATTTGCATTATCGTGTACATTAAATTGTTAATTTGGTTCTTGAGTCTAAGGCGTTCATACTCACAGATCCTTTTCAAAATTGTATTCATCAATATCACATAGTTGATATGTATATTTTAGTGTCTTATTCTTTTCCCAAAACTTTCAAATGTACATTTTGCCTGTACTAAACTACATTTGCCATTTCTGTGTATTTTTTAAGTTTCCTTGAATTTTGATGCAATTCTTTGATGGACAAGGAGCTGCCACAACGTTTTATAATGCACCACATGTTTGTAACGTCCACAGATATACTTGCATCACCATTTACTAAGAAAAAAAAGTTAATTTATATGTGTTATTCATAATAGAGGTTCCAGGACGGAACCCTAAAGCACTCCACTTGTGACGATTTCTCACTCGGAAATCATCGTATTTATGCCTACTCTGTTTCGTATGTTATCCCCCTGCCTTAATTTATTGCATCGGGGAACTGCGCTTATGCACCAACAAACGGAATTAATACACCAATCTAATTTAGTATTTGGTGGTCGAGGTCGTGTCTCGACCCTCCTGGCATGTGGAGGTCCAGGATGTCCAGCACTTAAATCCCGGAATGAACTTACGAAGGTTTTTCCACTTAGTGTAGCTACTTGAATACGGACGTAGCCGCCACAAAGGCGGTAAGAGGGAAAACGTTCTTAGCTAAGAGGAAAAACCTTCGTAAGTACCTTCCTGAATCCGGCCCCAGGTCCTATCGCAGCTTTTCATTAAGCATCTGGTGGGTAATACCGGTTGTGCTTCTCGAGGCCGAGCGTGCTGATCGATGTCTGGCTGGGTGTCGTAACCCAAATAGCAGGAATATTAAACTAGCTGAACCATTAATACTCCGCCAATGAATGAGAATGAAGAATGAATAGTTCGAGCGTGCAGTATACAACAGTAGAACAAGGCGGTAAACGGTCTTTACTAAGGGAATTTGTTAGGTCAAGGCATCTAGTAGATAGCCAATGCTATGCTAGGTTGGGGGAGTTGACCAGAGAAGGTCAGGTCAAGCAGCACACTATGGTGATAATTCTTGACATACTGCGAAAGCGAAGGAAATTTAAACACTAAAATAATGATCGCAATTCACTTGCCACACCGGTCGAGGCGGGGCGTGTCGAGGCGGGGCGTGCCGGTCGAGGCGGGGCGTACCGATCGAAGAAGGACGGGTCGAGGAAGCAAAATATAGTGGCTGTCGACTAATTACTTTGTTGTTGTTTTAGATTTAGCTAATCAGAACGAAATGTCCATGTAGCACGGGCTATAGTGAGCCCGTAGTGACTAATTACTCCTGCTCATCGTCTTTATAGTGGTCGAAGTCCAGCTGGACGTCAGCTGCTTGTTGGCTTGCCCGAAGGCAAAGGTAAATGGGTAGCTGGGCGTCCTGAAGTGCTCCAGTCTGGCCCCTCTAGCCTGGTCTAGCCGAGTCTGCTGTGGTCTAGCCGAGCCTGCTGTGGTCTAGCCGAGCCTGCTGTGGTCTAGCCGAGCCTGCTGTGGTCTAGCCGAGCCTGCTGTGGTCTAGCCGAGCCTGCTGTGGTCTAGCCGAGCCTGCTGTGGTCTAGCCGAGCCTGCTGTGGTCTAGCCGAGCCTACTCTGGTCTGGCTTTGTAAGTCTGAATAACATTTAGTATATAATGATACTCTGACTTTTGAAGAGTTAGTCGTTAATAAGTCAGCTTTACTACGTTGTGATGGCTGAGGATGGTGATAGTGGCTAGTGACAGTGGCTATAGTAAGTCACCAGGTGACTCTGGTGCGAGTTTAACAATGCACGCAATCAGAACTAGTGTTGGATGGAGCGATGTGTGAATAGTTGTGCTAGTAAGACTGGCTAGTAGTAGTAGTAGTAGTAGTAGTAGTAGTAGTAGTAGTGGCTAACGGTGGTAGCTGGAGGCAATACTAGTTGGTGATGATGGTATCTGATGAGTGGTGGTGGTGGTGGTGGTGGTGGCAAGTAGTGAGGCTCATATTAGAGGAGGAGGAGGAGGAGGTAGGAGCGGAGGTTGAGAGAGAGGAACAGGTTTCCCTGGCGCGGCTGAGTGCGTGCGGGTGCCCTATGTTACCAAGCCGGGTCGGGGCTCTCCGCCGTCTGCCTGATCGTGGCCATTCCCTCACCTCCGACCCCTCGCCGCCCTCGACTCCTGCCTTACTTTATTGAATCTGATGTTGGAGAAGTCTGCCAGGTCAGCGAGGAGCCACCCAAGGATCCGCGCTCTTGTCACGTCATTTTAAAATGTTTGTAATGTAAAATAAAATATATTGATTTTAACATTGCTAATATTCACATAGAAATCTGTTGTTTTAGATTCAGCTACTTAGAGCAAAATTTTCAAAGTAGCACGGGCTATGGTGAGCCCGTAGTGGACTTACCTGGCACAGGAGCGGGGCTGTGACAGAAATCACATTAACGTGATATATATATATATATATCAACGAGAATATCCACTGGAGCAGTGAGATGGGCTCGAACCTCCAAATCCTTGTCACAATAGTCTAGTGGTAGAGTATACGGCTTGGTATTGCATTGGTTGTAAGTTCGAGCCCACCTCACTGCCTCAATGGATTTTTTCATTGCTAATATTAATAACAGCAATAATAATATTGACGACGCCTTAAAGCTGAAATAAAAATGGTATAAATTTTCCTAACAGTCATTAGTTTAATTTATAATTTACATAAAAATGGTAAATGTTTGTAGGAAACATTGACGAAAAATATAATAAATTATTAGTATTTTATTTATTACCTTCCAAGTGATAATATATGACGAGAAATATGAGGGGGAAAAAGTCATTTGATGAATTTACTTAGTCTGAAAAGGCAGGTCTTGTTGGCAAACACTCGACTGTACAAACACAAAAGGTGAACGCATGCAGCTTCCCGCTGGAACGCATTTTCCCGCTAGAACGCATCCTCCGGCTAGAACGCATCTTCCCACTAGAACGTATCTTCCCGCTAGAACGCATCCTCCAGCTAGAACGCATCTTTCCGCTAGACCGCATCCTCCCGCTAGAACGCATCCTCCCGCTAGAACGCATCCTCCCGGTAGAACGCATCCTCCCACTAGAACGCATCCTCCCACTAGAACGCATCCTCCCGCTAGAACTCATCCTCCCACTAGAACGCATCCTCCCGCTAGAACTCATCCTCCCACTAGAACGCATCCTCCCGCTAGAACGCATCCTCTTACTAGAACGCATCCTCCCGCTAGAACTCATCCTCCCACTAGAACGCATCCTCCCACTAAAACACATCCTCCCGCTAGAACGCATTCTCCCGCTAGAACGCATCTTTCCCCTAGAACGTATCTTCCCGCTAGAACGCATCTTCCCGCTAGAACGCATCTTCCCGCTAGAACGATTCCTCCCGCTAGAACGATTCCTCCCGCTAGAACGCATCCTCCCGCTAGAACGCATCCTCCCACTAGAACGCATCCTCCCGCTAGAACGCATCCTCCCTCTAGAACGCATCTTCCCGCTAAAACGCATCCTCCCGCTAGAACGCATCCTCCCGCTAGAACGCATCTTCCCGCTAGAACGCATCTTCCCGCTAGAACGCATCCTCCCGCTAGAACGCATCCTCCCGCTAGAACGCATCCTCCCACTAGAACGCATCCTCCCGCTAGAACGCATCCTCCCGCTAGAACGCATCCTCCCGCTAGAACGCATCCTCCCGCTAGAACGCATCCTCCCGCTAGAACGCATCCTCCCGCTAGAACGCATCTGACGCCGCCAGCACAAATACTAAACCCCAAAATATGGACCAAAAAATATTAAACCTCAAAAATATATAGAACAAATAACTAAGAAAATTTAAATTGCTTTCATGATAACATTTTCCGAGTCGATTCTTGTGTGTGTTCTTTTTTGCGTGGCAAATAACTTTTGGTGAACATAATGGTATGAGATATATAGAGCCACTATATAATATGGGTGGATAGAAGTTCACCAGTGTTTTTACGGTACTATCCTCATGGGGCGCTGCGATAGTTCTATACACGATCATGGGGCGCTGCGATAGTTTTATACACGATCATGGGGCGCTGCGATAGTTTTATACACGATCATGGGGCGCTGCGATAGTTTTATACACGATCATGGGGCGCTGCGATAGTTTTATACACGATCATGGGGCGCTGCGATAGTTCTATACACGATCATGGGGCGCTGCGATAGTTTTATACACGATCATGGGGCGCTGCGATAGTTCTATACACGATCATGGGGCGCTGCGATAGTTTTATACACGATCATGGGGCGCTGCGATAGTTTTATACACGATCATGGGGCGCTGCGATAGTTTTATACACGATCATGGGGCGCTGCGATAGTTCTATACACGATCATGGGGCGCTGCGATAGTTTTATACACGATCATGGGGCGCTGCGATAGTTCTATACACGATCATGGGGCGCTGCGATAGTTTTATACACGATCATGGGGCGCTGCGATAGTTTTATACACGATCATGGGGCGCTGCGATAGTTTTATACACGATCATGGGGCGCTGCGATAGTTTTATACACGATCATGGGGCGCTGCGATAGTTTTATACACGATCATGGGGCGCTGCGATAGTTCTATACACGATCATGGGGCGCTGCGATAGTTTTATACACGATCATGGGGCGCTGCGATAGTTCTATACACGATCATGGGGCGCTGCGATAGTTCTATACACGATCATGGGGCGCTGCGATAGTTCTCTACACGATCATGGGGGCGCTGCGATAGTTCTCTACACGATCATGGGGCGCTGCGATAGTTCTCTACACGATCATGGGGCGCTGCGATAGTTCTATACACGATCATGGGGCGCTGCGATAGTTCTCTACACGATCATGGGGCACTACGATAGTCCTATACACGATCATGGGGCGCTGCGATAGTTCTATACACGATCATGGGGCGCTGCGATAGTTCTCTACACGATCATGGGGCGCTGCCATAGTTCTCTACACGATCATGGGGGCGCTGCGATAGTTCTCTACACGATCATGGGGCACTACGATAGTTCTATACACGATCATGGGGCGCTGCGATAGTTCTATACACGATCATGGGGCGCTGCGATAGTTCTATACACGATCATGGGGGCGCTGCGATAGTTCTATACACGATCATGGGGGCGCTGCGATAGTTCTCTACACGATCATGGGGCGCTGCGATAGTTCTCTACACGATCATGGGGCGCTGCGATAGTTCTATACACGATCATGGGGGCGCTGCGATAGTTCTATACACGATCATGGGGCACTACGATAGTTCTATACACGATCATGGGGCACTGCGATAGTTCTATACACGATCATGGGGCACTGCGATAGTTCTATACACGATCATGGGGCACTACGATAGTTCTATACACGATCATGGGGCACTGCGATAGTTCTATACACGATCATGGGGCACTGCGATAGTTCTATACACGATCATGGGGCACTGCGATAGTTCTATACACGATCACGGGGCACTGCGATAGTTCTATACACGATCATGGGGCACTGCGATAGTTCTATACACGATCATGGGGCACTGCGATAGTTCTATACACGATCATGGGGCACTACGATAGTTCTATACACGATCATGGGGCACTGCGATAGTTCTATACACGATCATGGGGCACTGCGATACTTTGGTTCAGGGTAATTGGTCAGGTCGCCGGCATGCTGACCTGGCTTGGATTTATCAGTCATTTTTTAAATCCCGAGTAGAAATGGTTACAAAATCTTTGGCGTGATTTTTGTGAAAGAAAAAAGGCTGTAAAATACGGGTTCGTGGGATTTGCAGTATACGCCACACGTGTATTTTTACCGTATTCGTTTGTGCTGTACAAAGATAACTGACGCGAAAGCTGTGTTTTCTTCAAAGTATTATACGTGGATCCTATTAAAATGGCTTTTAAAAAGTAAACAACAAATTGTCGAATTGCAGTAGGGAGGTGAGGAAACAGAGGTGGAAGAGGTGACTGGGAAAGGTGGGAGGGGAAACGTGGGAGATGGAATGGAGGAGGGGGAATGACCCGCGACCCCTTCCAGGGAGGGTGGTACTGGGTTTTACCCGGCCTCTGCCGACCGATTGATCAAGAATTGCAATATCCTCCGGCCAATTTTGCCAGCAGTGCCACTTTGCAGTATTTTATGCGTTAGATTCTCCCGGTCACTTAAATCAGCTGGTTCCTGAGGTATGTGTAGTATATTTGGCCAGAGTTTAGGAACTGGAAGTTTGGTGACAATAGTGGTGACATCTCAGGGGATGGTGGTCCTGTGTCCAGGCTTCCTCCCCGCTTCTCAGCGGTGGGGTGTTTTGATACACTGGCCGCCCCCCTCCTGCCTCCTCTCACACTGGCCGCCCCACTGGCCGCCCCCCTCCTGCCTCCTCTCACACTGGCCGCCCCACTGGCCGCCCCCCTCCTGCCTCCTCTCACTGGCCGCCCCACTGGCCGCCCCCCTTCGGCCTCTCATAATCGCCGCCCCCCTCTTCCCTCCTCTCACACTGGCCGTCCCCTCTCTTCCCTCCTCTCACACTGGCCGCCCCCCTCTTCCCTCCTCTTACACTGGCCGCCCCCCGCCTCCCTCCTTTTATATGTTATATATTATATGTTGTGGTTAGTTATATAATTGTGACTTGTTATATAGCGTAAAGTAACTTTTTAAAAGCTAGAGGGGTTTTGTGTGCATGAAATTTCATATTTACACATTTCCTTGCATGCTTACAAATTTATTTGCTCCTGTTAATATCATAATCCAGGTATATGTGAACCTAATTAATAAAGAGAAGTCATTACTGTCGCGAAAATTTCATTTTATTAAATTGCAAAAATGTGTTTTAAGTCGAGAGCGTTAATAAATTTAGTGAAGGATAATTTTGCAAGTTATGATCATACCTTAATACGTTTTTGCGAGGCTGTAATAACTTTTTGTTCTTAACGAGAACAATATTGCACTGCGAGGGGATGCTGCAAGCTTCAGACATTACATATAATGTCTATGAATGGCTGCAGTTTGGTAGTTGAATTTGGCTCGTGTCTGATAGGCTTACGAATGAAGCATGATAATTTGGGTTGTTTTTATGACCCCCCTTAATTAACATGGGGCAGGATGAGGGGGGGGGGTCGTATCAGCCTTATGTATCCATCTGAAAGCATTATATATATATATTTTTATAACTTGATAAAAGTTTGGTGGACTCGATTTAAAAACAGAATGAGTGCATGTGGGCAAGCATGGTACATAAGTGTCCCATGGAAGTTTAATTGGGGTAATTAAGGGAATATTCTGGCTGCCAAGGTGGACTTGTTCTTTTCAGTCTTGAACACGACGCTTTCCCACGAGCTGGGCTTTCAGATTGTGCATCTCATTAATCAGGTATATATGGTATTTAGTAGTGTGTGTTGGGACAATTTTTGCACATGGTTGGCTTCAGTTTTTTAATTTTGAGTCGTTACTACTCAAAAGTGGCTGCTTGATCAGTCTCACAATGAAGTCTCACAATGGGATGTTTCCTTACATCCCCAAGGAATCCCTTGAATTAGGAATTAGGAGTTTTGCTTGCATTCTGTGCACTGCTGTTACGTAACCCAAGGAGCAGTATTTGTTAGGTCATCGTAGTGTTGTCTTGGCATTGTGTTGTCTGGCGGGGTTGTAACAGGATGACAATACTAGAACAATCCTCCTCTTCTCTATTATAACCACAGTGATGAAGTCTGTTATATGGTGTTCTCGTCTCCTGCTCTGATATCTTTAAAGCTCCGACTTTCTTGTATTAGTAATGCCACGTATCATCTGAGAAAATGTGATGTGTTATTATACCTGATATATTCACTGCATTATTGTTACTAAGAGTGTTATTTAGAAACCCGTATGTCAGAACTCGACCATGTTTGGGAAGACATCCGTGGGATACACGAAAGAGCTAGGATATATCTTAATTAATTTGTTTAGGTAGGTATAATAACTGTACATTGTGTATGATATACCAGAGGTGCTGTGTATTGTGGACACATAAGATTTATAATGTGTCCACGATACACATTTATTGTTCATTTCTCTTGATACTTGCCTATTGACTATTGCATGACTGCAGACAATATTCACACAACACACGTTGAATGTGGGCTCCAGTGTTATGTATTCAAATGTCTGTGTCTGTCTTGGTTACGGGTACACATCTCCATACTCAGACTCTAATGTATTGTGAATGCGTGTTCGAATGCATGTTGATGTGTCGGCGTTTAATTCTTGCCTGGTGTTCAAAATGCTAGCATGGTTGGGAAGTCCTGCAAAGCAAGCCGGACACGTGCCTGATTGACATTCTTGCTAGTGTTTACCTCTTCAGTATCGATGGATGATAAAAAGCAGTTCTTAAGTCATTGTCGAGCGGCGGCGGTCCCGGCCTGTGAGTCGCTGCTCCTTACATCTGGTGAACGAGACGTCCATCGATCCATCCCATACGGGTCCCACCGCCCCCTGGGGGACTCCCGGCCCTTGGGTAGGGGTAATTTATATCCCATTTATGAGATAAGGGCAAATAGAAATGCCTTTGTGAAACGTGAATGACGTCAGTCGGTCGTTGAGAAACGGGGGGTTCCCTCTTGGATATTATTATTTTTTTCTACCATAGTCTTCAACTGGGGTCGGTCTTGTCTTGTTGTGCCATATTTTCCTGTACTGGATTGACTTAACGCACGCCACCTTCTGGAAGAGCGTTTGCCAGTGTCCATT